AAACCTAAAACTAGAAAAGTAGACAAAACGGTTTGGGACTGGGAATTGATGAACGGAAATAAACCGATTTGGACGAGAAGTCCTAAAGATGTAGAAGAAACCGATTATGATGAATTTTATAAGCAATTCTCGAAAGACACTGAATCACCATTAACCAAAACTCACTTTGTTGCTGAGGGAGAAGTTACTTTCCGTTCAATCCTATTCGTTCCCCAGAAAGCTCCCTATAACTTTTATCAAGAATTCGGCAAACATCTTGACAACATTAAGTTATATGTACGCCGAGTTTTTATCACCGATGACTTTCAGGATATGATGCCTCGCTACCTGTCCTTTATTCGTGGTGTAGTTGATTCAGATGATTTACCCTTGAACGTTTCTAGAGAGACGCTTCAACAACATAAGCTTCTCAAAGTAATCAAAAAGAAGTTGGTTCGTAAGGTCAGTTATTACCTTTCTTGAATTGATACCTATTTAATTATTCTTACGCTTCTGATATACTAAGAATAAATTAACTTTATTACCGTTGTAATAGGCCTTAGATATGATTAAAAAAATGAACCCCGTTGATTTTGATAAATTCTGGAAAGAATTTGGCACTAGTTTAAAATTGGGTATAATGGAAGATTCTTCAAATAGAACTAGAATAGCCAAATTGTTAAGGTAAAAAATGAATGAACTGCTTCGATACATCATTAGACACTAGTACTATCAATAACTGTAGATAAAAAAAATTGATATCATGTCAACAGTTTCTGTTTTGAAGTATCCAAACGTTCATAAATTTATTACTCAATTTGCAGATTCTTTTCTTCGTATACACGAGATGATGAAACTACCACTCTTAGTGAATATATTGAACGTATGAAAGATAAACAAGAACATATCTACTTTATTGGTGCTCAAAGCCGTCAAGAAGCTGAAGCGTCTCCATTTGTTGAGCGTTTACGTCAAAAGAATTATGAAGTATTATATCTTACTGAAGCTGTTGATGAATATGCACTTCAGGTATAACTTTA